CGGGAATCGACCTCTTGGTGCATGGGTCGACGCTCAATCACTAAGCCACACTGGCCAGACATAAAAGTATTTCTTTATAGAAGAATACCTACTAAGTAATGCTGAAGAAATGATAAAATAAGAAAACTGCTGTTTTGCAATCGCCAATTTAACAATCAATTCAGACAAGGATCATCAATGGATAATGAAGTCAATGAATGAATGGCTGTTGGGAAACCGGATAATAGCATCGTATCAAATTTGCATTCCACAATTTCTGTATTAATTGTAAAGGATGAAATGTGCCTTTATAGTGGAGATGTCTAGTGGTCACCATCTAACCAAGTAATTACACTTCTCATGAACCACAGTGCCTTCTACAGGATGCATGAGAAGTGCATACACCACCTATGTGGAATTCTTGCCTTGCCCAAACTATCTAACCTGAATCTAAACATAAGGAAACAATCAGAAAAATCCAAATTTGGAACATTGTATCAGAAAGTTGGCCTGAACTCTTCAAAAAATTCAATGTCATGAGGGGGGAAAAGGAAAAAAAAAAAAATGAGTGTTTCATTCCAGATTATAAGAGACTTAACCAACTATAAGTCAGGAACATTTACTGAACTCTGGATTGGGGAATAAAATCTAAAATACACATTTTGGAGACCATTTCAATTACTCTATGTAAGTGTGTGTGTGTGTGTGTGTGTGTGTGTAGAGAGAGAGAAAGAGAGAGATACCAAATATGATAAAATATTAATATTAGTGGATCCAGGTGAAGGGTACAGCAGCTATTTATTATATTCTTCTTTCAACAATTTGTTATGCTTGAATCAAAATAAAACTACGGGTAAAAAGTTTCAGATTTACAGACAGCTCAAACTATATACAAATGACAAACACAAGTCACCACAAATTTAGTGTAAAATATTTTATTTAAAATGTTATTTTATTCTCATTGTTCCTGCACTGAGTTCTGCTTTATCTTTAACCTCATGACTAATAATTACTAATAAATATTTAAGTGCTCTGTGTTACTCCACTCAGAAACTTTAAACCCAGCCCTGGCCTGGTGGCTCCATTGGTTGGAGCATCATCCTGTGATGTTTAACACCGAAAGGCTGCAGGTTCGATCCTCGATTCCTGGTCAGGGCACGTGGAGAAGGCAACTGATCAACGTTTCTCTCTTTCATTGATGTTTCTCTCTGTCTGTCTCTCTCTCTCTCCTCCTCCTCCTCCTTCCCCACCCCTATCTCTCTCTAAAAATCAATTTTTAAAAAACCCACATATCCTCAGGGGAGAATTAAAAAACAAAACAAAACCTTAAACCTAGACATAGGAGACAATCTAGGTGAGCAATAGATTATAAAAGCATGAGAGGCGAAGAACGCAGAAGCCGACACACAGAGGTCTAAGGGGGAAAGAGGAAGCAGGGCTCCGAAGGACACTGAAAGGTAAATATGGTAGAAATAGAAAACTGATTAATTCCACAATGGTGTCAGGCACTGTTCTGAGTACTGGGGGTAGAGCAGTGATACTTAACACTGCAGTGGACAAAGTAAACAAAAATCCCTGCCTTGATTTATTCTAGAGGAAATGGCATTTATTACCTAGTAGGCACTGCTCTGGGGACTTTACATATATTAACTCCACCCCAGCAACCTATGGGATTGTGCTATTCTTACCCCCACTTTCAGATGAGTAAACTCAGACAAAGAAAGGGTAAGTACCCTGCCTGCAGCCCTGCAGCTCATATATGCAGAGCAGATATTAAATCCAGGGAGTCTGGCTGCACCCCTCACACTCTTAAATTCTGCACTAGCACATAAGTAAGAAAGGAACTGCAAAAAAGAAAAAGGAGAAGCAAGTTTAGACAAAAGGTGAAAGAGACACAAAGCGTGGTCAGAGGAAAGGAAGTGATCAGGAGTATTAAACTGTGGAAGGGCTAGAGTCCACACACTTCTTGATGCATTTATGGTATTGAAAACAAAAAATAACGTAAGATTGTCCTGAATATGTCCTTAATATAAAAGTTGAGAAAGCAGGGGTAGTTGCGAGAGACAGTGGGATCACTGATGACCAACTCAACCTGCTATCCCATTCTGGCCAAGCCTTACCCTTGAGGGGTGAATTATGAAGTCTGCGTAAGAGATAAAGAGGGATTATTACTAACAGTTTCTTTGAGTTTCCAGATGAACTAGTTTGCAAACTTGCTAAACAAGAGAATATTTTCCACCCACTCTTTCCTTGGTTGCTATAACATAGCACATTAGAACAGCTGGCTATTCTAATATTCTGGGAATGAAGTCTCTCTGGATGAAAAGTATTATTAAGGATTTCCACAGCTGTCATATCCATAACCTGATCATATGTACATTGATTCATATAATAATGGAATGGACAGAAAAATGTCCTTGCCCCTTGAACATTTTAATTATAACCCAATCAAGATTGGGTAGTAAGCTCATGACCTTTATTTTACCACCCAAGTGATTATTTTATTTAATAAACATTAATACACCCATGTTGAGTCACAGATAAAATTATCTCTGGAATAGTCCAGCCAGTGTGGCTCAGTGGTTGAGCATCGACCCATGCAGCAAGAGGTCGCTGGTTCGATTCCCGGTCAGGACACATGCCCAGGTTGTGGGCCAAATCCCCAGTAAGGGGCATGCAGAAGGTGGCCAATCTATGTTCTCTCTCATCAATGTTTCTATCTCTCTCTTCCTCTCTCTCTAAAATCAATAAAGGAAAAAAATAAATAAAAAAGATTGGGGCCCTGGCCGGTTTGGCTCAGAGGTTAGAGGGTCAGCCTGTGGTCCAGAGAGACCCGGGTTCGATTCCCGCTAAGGGCGTGTACCTCGGTTGCAGTTTGTCCCCAGCCCTGGTTGGTTGTGTGGGTAGCAGCCACTCGATGTGTCCCTTTCACGTCGATGTTTCTCTCTCTCTCTCTCCCTCCCACTCTATCTGAACAAAAAATGGAAAAAAATGTCCTCGGGTGAGGATTAAAAAAAAAAGATTGGGTATTAAGCTCATGACCTTTATTTTACTACCCGAGTGATTATTTTATTTAATAAATATTAATACACCCATGTTGAGTCACAGATAAAATTATCTCTGGAATAACATTACATGCTGCTGTTGAACTTTTGTTTTTGCTCAAGATGGGTGTAGGGTAAAGAACATTGGTTCTTCATTATCGCTAAATGCTGACTCAATCACTAATGATGCTATTTCCTGGTTAATAAGTTGCTTACTCATACTCAGTGAGAGGGCTTGGTCTTACATCCTGACGTCTGACGGGAGAGGAGGAGGAGGAATATACCTTAAAACTTTGGATCAGGCAGACAGCTGACACTGAGTTTTAAAACCTCACCTAAGCTACTACTCAGAGTGCCACGTGAGTCATCCTTTGCAGTTGCCAGGGCGGAAAAATGTTCTCCCACGTGTATACGTTCTTCCAGCCAGAATAATAAATTAACATGAGACAGATTAACAGGAGAAAATGTCCAACTTGATTACAAGGTGTGCATATGGCGTACCATCAGAATATGGGACCCCAGGACACATTGGGCTGCTGAAGCTATATGCTATTCTGGGATAAGGAGAGGGAGGGGTCTAGGATTTCAGATGGAAAGTATGCAGTTCACAGGCAGATGAGAAAGAGCAAACGTGATAAACAGATTCTTGCTGGGCCACCCAGAGACAATGGGGCACACAGAGGAGTCCAACAAACAGGCTTTGCCAGATTCTCCCTGGCTGCCACAGTTTAGCTTTGCCAGGTAAGAGCTGAGATGAACAGCTCCCTTCCTTTGAGCAGCTATTCCCTGAGGCAGGAAAGGGCCTTTCTGAGGCTTTTATTTCTTAAAAAAACAACCAGCTTACAATAATCAATATCCCAAAAGATATATTATGGAATGGCAAACTGTGGTCCCTGTCACAGTTAACCGGCAGGTTTAGTGCTCTTTGTCTTTCAACCCATCTTTACAGCTTCCTGCCAGAGTGCCCACCCAAACCAACACACAGAATTCCACTCATTCCACGAAACTTTTCTTTTTTTAAAACAATGTTTATTCTTTATTAATGTTAGAGGAAGAGGGAGAGATATAGAAACATCAATGAGAGAGAACATCAATTGGCTGCCCCCTACATGTCCCCCACTGGGGATCTGGCCCACAACCTCGGCATGTGCCCTGACCAGATATCGAACCAGCGACCTCTTGGTGCATGGGTCGACGCTCAACCCCTGAGCCACACGCTAGGCGCCATGAAACTTTTCTTAACTACCCTCTCTCTTGCCCACTTTCTTCCCTTCACTAGATTTCTTTACTTGAACTTCTTTTTACTAATTGTGGTATCTAATATACATATTATTCTTAATTTTTCTTTCCTAGATAATCTACTTAAAATTAGCCCTGGCCAGTTTTGCTCAGTGGTTAGAGCATTAGCCTGTGGTCCAGAGAGACCCGGGTTCGGTTCCCACTAGGGGCGTGTACCTCAGTTGCAGTTTGTCCCTGGCCCTGGTTGGTCGTGCGGGTGGCAGCCACTTGATGTGTCCCTTTCATGTCGATGTTTTTTTTCTCTCTCTCTCTTCCTCTCTCTCCCTTCCACTCTGTCTGAACAAAAAATGGAAGAATGTCCTCGGGTGAGGATAAAAAGTAAATAAATATTAATCCTAAAAGATAATCTATGTCAGTAGTGCTCTTACTTGGTGGTGTGTTAGAATCATCTGGGAAGGTATTTATAAACTTCCAGTACCCCAGCTGACCCCTAGGCCAACAGAATCAAAATCTTTTCTAGTGGGCCAGATAATACTTTTTTTTAGAGAGAGAGAGAGAAACATCAATCAGTTGCCTCCCTGATGCACCCTGACCAGGAATGGAACCTACCACCTTTGAGGTACAGAACGAAGCCCCAACCAAGGGAGTCACACAGTCCAGGGCACAGATAATACTTCTTCAATGTATTCTCCAGGTGATTCCAATGTGCAATCAAGTTTGAAAATGGGGGACATCTGTCGCAGCCAAGTCAGATTCAACCCCTGTTCCCACTGTAGCGGGCTGGCCCAGATGACTTCCACAGCGAGCGCCGCAGTTCATGGGCCTGGCTCCCCTGCCCTGGGACCCCGGGATAAGTTTGGCTGTGGACGTGGTGGGGAAAAAAAGGAAAAAAAAAATGGGGGACATCTGTAATACTTTCAAAAACAAAAATCAATAAAGTACATAAATACATACATAAATAAATAATTTTTTTTAAAGAAAAGTAACGCGGTAGTCCAATCTCATTCAAACTGGAAAATTTGGCTGTTTCAAGTCTTTCAGTTTTGTCTCCCCAGGATTAATTCCTAGAAACAGAAATTCTTGCATCTACTTAGCAACACAAGAGTTGTTTGTGGTGGATGCATACCTTGCATGCAATTGATAAGCTCCATTATCGAGTGATCCATGACCCCTTCAGACAGGGTTGCTGAAGGAGAAAAATCCTGCCTGCACCTGCCCCACTCCCTGGTCAGATTTATTAGTGTCAGGAGAGGGCTGAGCTTCATGAGCAGCCATCCTTGGGAACCACCGGGATCTATTTCCTGATAAAATTGATGTGTGTGTGAGCACAACCCATCATAATATGACAGGCTTATCATTCTAAAGATGAAAAACATCATCAAAACAAAATGATTTATCGACAGACCCAGGAAGAGTAAGTGAGCCCAAGAGTCTTTGCTGCACAACTGTTGTCCAAATTGTGAATTTCGCTGTCCAAGGCACCAATAGGCTCCGACCCTGCTGGTGTACCAAGAACCCTATAAACAGTGTCACGGGAACTGTCAAACCAGATGTAGAAATTCCAACTATAGCCAATATGCTGAAACAAAAATGTCTTTATCATTCCATTGGCCACAACTCTGCATTTCCTGTTTTAAAAATAAAACCCTATTACTGTATTACTTTATTTGATTAATGTATTGATTCAATCGATGTATTGATTGATTTCCTAATGCCAGAGCCACTTCAAGTGGTTTGTAGCTAAGCAATAAAAAGTCCATTCTGGCCGAAGTATATCCCCTTACTTTTCACCCCACCCTCCCCCTGCGCCAACAGATGTTCCTATTTCATTTCAGGGTGTGGCACTATATGTTCCAAATTAACAATTTTTTTAAGTTGGTATTTTCATTTGCAGTCCGTTCAGAATATTTTTTACTTTATTAACGTTTTTTTTTTCATTTATTAATTTTAAAGAGAGGAAGAAAGAGGGAGAGAGAGAGAGAGAAGAGACATCAATGAGAGAGAGCATCGATTGGCTGCCTCCTGCATGCCCCCCACTGGGGCTCGCGGTCAGAACCTGGGCATGTGCCCTGACTGGGAATCGAACCTGCGACCTCTTGGTGCATGGGTCAATGTTCAACTACTGAGCCACACCAGCTAGGCCAAATTAACAAATTTTAATTCCCAGTAGCCAAAGACCAGCAAGGACATACCTGCACTAAAAAAATAATTTACATGTATTTATTTCGCTTCAGCAAGTCAGAATGTACCCTTGAGAAATTATGGGACATTTATTACATGGAGTTGGGAGGGACTTCTCATAGGATTCAGACTTAAGTTAGATGATTCTAAGGAAGCAGGAGCTAGTGCTTCATTAGATCTCGCCTGGAACTGGGGCGACTCAGAGAAAGGGGGCCTTGGCAATTTTTATCTAGGAAACGAGAGAATTCAAGCAGGAGCAGACGCGGGTGTCGTTGGTAAAGCAGCCAGGGCTACTCATGTTTGCCATAAGGGGGATGTTTAGTAAGGGGAGTTTTGCAGTGGCCTTGTCTGTGGCCGCAGAGTGTCCTTCACGTGGACAGTGTTTATATTACGTGAGTGTTCGTTATGTGCAGTTGGTACCAACACGGCCTGGCTGCCGGCACGGCTGCTTTATTCTTACTTTTTCACAAGTAAAAAACTGTTTACTAGACCAGTTTTTCAAGTCAAGAATTTTAGATTTGATAGGAGAAGAAAGCTATAAAATATTACTATGGCTATAAAAGAAAGCCAGAGGCCTGCACGTGAAGGACAGACCTTCTAAAGGCAAAGGTACTAGAATAACTAAGTATGATGATATAAGAATTTTAAATGACATCTGAATCTAACAGGCAAAATGAGAGGGTCGGGTCCTTGTGAAGCTGGGTTACCAATGGCAGCCTTCTTCTTCTTCTTCTTCTTTTTAATATGTTTTTTATTTTTTTAGAGGGAGAGGAAGGGAGAGACAGAAAACTCGATGTGAAGGAGAAACAGTGATTGGCTGCCTCCTGCACGCCCCCTACTGGGGATCAGGCCTGCAACCTGGGCACGTGCCCTGATCTGGAATCAAACTGGGACCTCTCAGTCCATGGAACACGCTCAATCCACTGGGCCACACCAGTAGGGCATGACAGGGTTCCTTTGACTCTACCAGGGCACAATGTCTGCCATGACTTTTCAGACCTCTGGGATAGAAGTGATTTGACTACCTCACTGGCCCGAAACTGAAATAGACAATTCAGAGAGGAAGCACGTGGGCCACTTACCACCACCTTTCTCAGCCTCTCAGGCACTTGGAGATATTAAAGCACAGGTTTATATTCTTTTCAGGCTTTGTCTCATTGAAGTTTCATTTATTTAGTATGTCCTCTTAACGTTCTTTTATGCATTTACATACAACTTCTTGACATCTAGAAATTCAGGTGCTATATGATGCGCGACTGTCTCATTTCTCAACAAACAGGTTTTTCTCATTCTCCAATACTGACATACTGAATACGAAAATATTGGAAGCAATAAATCTTGTAGTTTACATTAGGCCTCCCTCAGAATACAGACCTCTTCATTGGAATTTCCCGAATATTCCTGTAAGGAAGGAAAATACAGTGTTCTTATCACCAACTGAAGGCAACAAAAAAGGCCTTGATTTTCAGCAGATTTTTGGTGATGTTTCTTACAAAATTGTCCACAGACTACTAGCATCATAATTACTCAGGGTCTTGCTAAAATGCCATATTCTAAGCCTTACCCCAAACCTATAAGAACAGAATCTTATAGCAAGTTAGGGCATTAATTTGCAGGTGATTTTCATGTACATTAAAGTTCATTCATTATCTCCTATTTTTGGACAGATAATTTGATGTATGTTACTACATATAAAGAAGCAAACTTCAAGAAGACAAGCAATTTGGTCTGTTCCCCCTAGATGTCCCCATCCCCTAGAATGGTGGCTGACATTTAGCACACACTCAGTAATTACTGGTTAAATAAATAAACAGGAAAGAACATTACGTTATAGGCTTAAAACAGGAAGGTAATTTCTGGCTCCAATCTTTATCAGTGCTTGACCTTGGACAAATACTTTACCTCCCTGTCCTTTAAAGTTTTCAAGGAGACTATAGTAATGCTTCTCTTATCGGTGGAAGTCGGGTTCTTGGAATACCACTGAGATAAGCATTTCCAGAGGATGAGACGTGGCAGAAAAGCTTTATTTCCATGGAATCACATCCCTTCAGCCAAGCTAGAAGCAGAGTCAGAGTCCAGACTTCTGTTTCCTCGTTGGAGCCGGGTCCAGTCCAGTATCCAGCTAGACACAGTCCATTACCATTGTGTGTGGAGTCCACCCGGCTGAGGGCCATGAGGGCAAGGGCAAGGGAACACAAGCCCGGAGTTGGTCCCAAGAATCCCAAGAGCAGCAAGAGGAAGGAAGAGCATGAACTCCTTTGTTCAGGGGATTAAATATCCGAAATTTCTTGCCTTTGCAATGACCATGCCCATTCTGGCCAATGATCTTAGTTTCCACGTGTGACTGACAGCAAGTACCTTCCCTATATCACCCCAGCTTTACTGGGCATGGGTCTCTCTCCCCTTTATTGGACCCCTGGGGAGTATCAAGTTGTAGCTTCCTAGCGAAGTTTCCCAAATGACATGCCTAAAGTGCCTGGCCTTCCTTTTGCTTGTTTCCTATTATTAGTAACCAGTTTAATTACAACAGTATCACTACTACTTCCTTAGTTTATTGTAGAGTAAATGAGTTTAAATGTACAGAGTGCTTAGAACAATCCTTGTATAAAACACCTAAAAACTTTAGTGAGTTGTGACTTGGCAGAAACCAGCCCAAGGTCAGACATCTAGTCAGCCAGCTCTGACCGACGTTTTCTCACTCTTACCACACTTTTTTTATTCTATGATCTGGCAGACATCAGAGAGTCCCCTCTTTCCAAATATCTCACCATTCTACTTGGTCCTTCATATATGGGCATAATTTTCTCCCATTGCACTCATTTTGCTAAAGCTTACAGGAAAACTGAGCATCTTCTGATAAAACAAGCACCTGCTACCAAGAGTGAACTGGAAATCACAAACTAAGCTCCTATTTTCCTTGTTGAGCTCTCTTCCCGTTAACCTCCGGCAAAGGATCGTGTGGCAGGGGGCCTGGCAACGAGTAGACGCCAAGAGCCTACGCAGAGATCCATGTATTTTTAACCTCTGGAGTTAAAGAGAAGGGGAGGTGAGGGAGTGAAGGATGAAATTTAAAAATGACATGAACACAAAATTTTGAATCCTCAAGAAGTTCATTTAGTGTTTTGCTTCTGTTGATCAAAGGCACTAAATCCGTTCCAGGGATACATGTTGATTATAACCAAAAATGAAGACAGGTGCGACTGTGGTAGGCAGTTAGACACAAGCAGAATAAAAACACGCCAGGTACAGAAGGTCACCAGGGTGGAAAGCCCCGGGGTGCATAGCAAGGGACAATTATAGGGTGGGACCTCATCCCCAGGGTGACCTTTCCTCCCGGAGTGTATCGCTGGTCATGCGGTTTAGACCCCCTGACTTTCCTCCCTAGAGATATCATCTAGCCCTCAGTTGTATTTCAGCTCCAGGCCCAGAAAAACTGCAAAACCAGGAAAAGGACACCAAGGCTGACCTCAGGACCAGCTGCATTGGATAACGACCCCCCTGCCCTGGCACCAGCCAATCAATCAGTGGATACCACAACCCTGAAAAGACACACCTGGGAAGCTACTGAATATTCTACTGAGATCTTCACCGGGGACCCTCCCCCTAAAATCTCCACCCCTGAAACCCTTAGGACCGAGGATTCAGCTTGCTCTCCCTTCTGGGAGCACACCCTCTTCTTTCCCCTCCCCCTCAGGCACATCACTTTTACCTCCCACACTCCAAAGCTCCAATGGCCCTTCTTTTGCCTCTGTTAACTCTCTTCTGAGCCCTTTTTTTTTCTACCATTCATTTTTTCCACCTCTGATTTTCTAAATAAATGTTCCCTTATAGTTTGACTTGGCTCTGCATTCTTTCCTAGCTAGACTTAAATACCACCATTGCTGAAGCCAGGTCCAGTCTGACCCCACCAGTCCTGCTGCAGCCAACATGACCGTTGTCCTACCACCCTGGCATTCCAAAGGAAGGACCACAAACAAAAGCCCTTTACTCAAAGGCTTCAACTTTCGCGGTCTGATCCTTTGATCCACATTCCATGGTCTTGGCAGTAGGGTGGGAGTGCATTCCGAGCGGTCAGGAAACCGTTTTTCAGAATTTGATGAACTCATATAATTTTTTAAAAGCAAACTTCCTTGTTCCTTCAGTTGGAGGAGCGTCCCTGCAAAGACATACTTTGTTGGGCAATTCAAAAGGGTGCAGTACCGGGGTGTTTTGCGCCTCGGCTCTGGAAAGACAGGGAAAGTGGAAAAAGTAGGTAAGAGGAGATAGAACCAGAAATATATCAGGGGCTCTCAGGCCTTTGTCTTTAAAAGACTAAAAGCCCCGGGGATGGAGGGTGAGAGGTGGGTGGAGGGTGCGAGGTGAGTGGAGGGACGGGCTGAGCTCTGCTCCAGGCGGAGGGTGATCGCCTCCTCAGCTCTGGCGGGCGGGGCGCCCAGGGCAAGGGGCGGGGGGGGGGGGGGGTGCAGCGTGACCACACCCCGGGCGTCCTGTCCCGCGCTTTCCAGAAATCAGCAGTAGTTTGCGGTCTGAACCGGTGAAGGAACTAACGAATGAATGACCCTCCTACCAGGATGGGGGCCCCGGGTCTCCGTGGAGCTACGCGTCTCGCGCACTCCCCCCTCAGCCTGGGGCGAGCCCGGTCCTTTCCGCCGGAGGTGGGGCGTGGGCCCCCCCTGGCCTCCGGCGCCCCGAATCCGGCGGCGGCGGTGGCGATCGGAAGCCCGGGCGGCGCCCACGAGGGCTGCGGAGCGGAGGGGAATCTGGACTCCGCGTCCCGGGTCAGAGAGAAAGTGCTCTTTCTTCTCCACCCCGAGAGAGGGCTGGGGACTCGCGCGGACCCGGCATGGGAAGAGGTGGCCGGTGGGGAGGACCTTTCTCCGGCGGGCGCAGACGACCCGGGGCGCCCTTCTCCCCGCTTGCCAGGAGAAGAGCGGCCTTCTGGCCGCCGAGGGGACGCTCCCCGCAGGGCCCCGCCGCGGGGCGGCGCCCGCCCGCCCAGACCCGTGCTCGTGCGGGTGGTGGACTACCAGGCGACCGAGGAGGTCCAGCTGACCGAGTGGACTCGGGGCTGTGTGGCCACGCGGACCGAGGAGCGCTCCATGAGCGTGCTCACGTTCCGCACCCACAAGCAGTGAAGCAGGCTGGGGCGCGGGGACCCCTGGAGAACCCCGCGCTCTCTTGGCACAGAGATTGGCACCCGGAGTCTGCGCTGCGGAGGGACGATCTTTTCACAGCCACAAGGACCGGATTCCCCGAGGAGATAAAACGGGAGGGAGAAGCCCGAGGAATGTTTCTGGGCTGGCGGATAAGCGATTAATCTCAAGAAAAGAAAATGCGCTTCCGGGAGCCCCAACCTGCAATTAACCAAGAGCAAGGACTTTCCGGGCCGGCGCGGCGCTCGGCGGAGGCAGCCGCCCGCACCGAACAGGTGGAAGCAGTGTGAGCAACGCGATACCTCTCGTGGCTTCAGCGCTGTGAGGGGCTGGAGACCCGCGTCGCTCGGAAGAGGGAGAGAACAGGTATTTTGAAATGAACAGAATGTGGTTATTTTGAAGAAAATCTGTTGTTAATTCTCGTGGTGGAATACCTCTCACTGGTCTCTTTTCTGCCACCCGCTTTCTCTGTGAGACTTAAAGGCATGAATGAAGTTTGAGGTCTGATTTCTGCGAAGGGAGTGGGAGTAGATGGGGAGAGAGGCTTGTTTTTTAAAAGCTGAAAAAAATAAATGGGAAAATTTAAACAGAGCAGCAAGTAAACAGTTTCGACTTTCTTCTAATAAGCAGAGTTTTTCTTTTTGACATTTAAGTGCCACTTAAAAGACTTTTACCCCAAATTGTCTACTATAGTTCAGTAAAAGTGCTTTTAATCTGAAATTTTTAATTATTTTAATGTTTAAAATACTGCAGATAAATCTTCTGATCTAAAGGTGGAAATGTAAAAGGCGAATGTATAGTTTGCCTTAAAATGACTATATATCTTATTCTTGTCCATGGTTGTTGGTTTGTTTTTTGGTACATGCCCCTAGCCCCTAGGGCCTAGCAGGAACTGAACCTGGGACTCTCTGGTCCACAGGCCAACGCTCCAACCTCTGAGCCAAACCAGCCAGGGCAGATCCATGGTTACTTTATTAACAAGATATGTAGTCAAGACTGTACTGAAACTACATCTCTCCTGATGCTGTTGAAAAAATATTTCTTTTGGTGCTATGGAAAAAACTCATTTTTATTTTATTTATTCCTTTTTTTTTTTTTTTTTTTAAATTAAAGACCACCTTTATTATCCCTTTAGTAGTGTGGCCTGGTTTGGGAATCTGAGGAGCCCAGCACCTCCCTGGAGATGCATTGCTTGACCAGCAGGGCTGAAGGGGTGTTACCTGGTTACTGCAAGAAGTAACAAGACAAGGGGGACTTGGCTTTTGTTCAGCAGTGTCCCCTACCATACCCACTCGCTCTGTGCCCCTTGTTTCAGGTTAGAGCTTAAAATGCCCTCAAATGTCCACTTCTTGCCTCCTGGCACACAAGATAGGTACAGTATGTCCCTATTTTATAGATAAGCCAACCTAGGCCTAGAGGTCATGTGGCCTGTGTAGGTCACCCAGCTAGTAAAGCATCTGCTTACCAAATAATACAGGTGGCTGTGTGCTAATAAAACTATTTATGGACACTAAAATTAGATTTCATATTATTTCCCAATGTCATAAAATATTATTCTTATTTTTTCCCCATCTATTTAAACATGTAAAAAAAAAACAGCATACAGGCCATACAAAAGCAAGAGTGATGGTCCTGATTTGATCTGTGGGCCACTGTTTGCCAAACCTTTTATGATCAGTCATAAAATTCAAATTGTAAAGGGCTTTCACTCTTAGATGTGTAGCAGAGTCTCTGGCGTGTGGTCAGCGTATTCAGGGCAAAATTCAGACAGGAGACTGGAACTCCATATTGATTTCTACTGAAGCTGTGAAATTGTCAACTAGCAGCGCGGTTCCTGATATCTAGGTGCTCGCCATCCTAAAGGGACAAACAAATACGTGCTTCAATAATTCCAGATAAAACCAACTGCACTAAGTTAGACAAAGACAGGATCACCTCTCTGCTAACGGCTGGGAATGATCTTTAGAGGAACTTATTTCCAGGGAGTCAAAAGATGGCCGAGGGCACCCTGGGGTTTCCAACTCTTATTTATGAGAAGTACTAAAGCCACCTTGATGTCCGAGTCCTACAAGGCCTGTTGGCTGAAGAGGCACCACTAACAGTTCTCAGGCCCGTGAGACCCTCACTTGAGAGAGGAATTCAGGACCTGAGCTCATCTGTGTTCAAAACTGCTTGGTGGGTAGAACAGGTAATAAAGGCCCCATAAAGTAAATTACTTTTTTTTTTTCCCCTTCCCCAACAACCCTGCCTATGAGGTTAAACTTCTTGGCAGACAGATTTCAGACCTGAGTTAATAAATTTGGTCGTGAGTCATCCCAGGCCCCACCTGATAGAGCTTTGACTATATATAGTCAAGAAAAGCCTCTTTAACATTGATCAAAAATGGGAGCATCACTGGTTGCCTTCTCTGTGGAGGCAAACTCTAGAATTCAGCTTCTTGGGTTCAGAACTGCTCCACCTCTGTCTAACTGTGACTCTGGGCAAGTGCTTGGTCTCCGTGTGCCTCTGTGTGCTTGTTTGTTAAATAGGGATAACAAATACTATCAACCTCATGGGGTGTTTGTTCCCTTAGGATGAAGTTAAATGAAAAATACTTAGAACAATTCCTGGCATAAAGTGAATGCTCAAAGTTGGCTATTATTATTATTATTAGTATGCCATTCTTATTTTTCGTTTGCCTTCATCCTATTCAGGCTTTAGTTTTTTTATTTAATAAACAAACAGCTGAAGGCATAGAGCCCAAGAAATCCTACAGAACTAAAACCAGTGGCTATTATTCACTCTTTTCTCCTGTGCTGAAAAAGACATTTTTCTAGCTTTTCCCAACACTTAAAGTATCAGTAAATCCATTCCTTCATTTCCTTAGAAATGACCTTGACATCTTGTAATAAAGACTCACCCCAACGTTCAAAGACTGACTGTGCACCATGCTTGAGTCTTGGAAGGGGTTTCACATACTGCTTATTCCTGTGGCTGGTGGAAGCTTTGAATACTTTAGGACCTGTCAGGTTAGTTTGTTTTCCCTCTGGGATTTTAAATCTGATGCTCTGTTGGAAGAGCAAAGCAGAAAGGGCACAATTGTTTTCATTTTGTCTCCTTTGTTTTTTTTATCCTCACCCGAGCACATTTTTTTGCATGTATCTTCAGATAGAGAGAGAGGGAGAGAGGGAGGAAGAGAGAGAGAGAGAAACATCTCACATTGAGTGGTTGCCACCCACACGACCCCAAGCAGGGACGGGGACAAACTGCAACCAAGGTACATGCCCTTAGTGGGAACCCAACCCGGGACTCTCTGGTCCGCAGGCTGAAGCTCTAACCACTCGGCCAAACCAGCCAGGGCAGTCTCCTTTCTTTTACAATGTATTTATTCAAGTCAGTGCAACTTCATGTGTTAGATAGGACAAGGGCCTCAAGGTCTGGGCAGTTCCTACTAAATGCTATAAATGTAGCACAGTATTTTACAAGAAAGAGTTCTAAATAGGATGACCTTGATAGGAAGCCAACCTGATAAGAGTAGCCACCTGCAAGGAAGAAATCAACATGTAATTAACGAAATACGTAGTGGATATCAGCAATGGCAAAGCCTCCCTTTCAGGAAGACAGAGCTTTGGATGTGAATAAATCACATCTCCTTTACTTGCTGCAAATAAATAAAACTACCTAATGACAACCGTGTCTAATGGATCACCCCAAACAGTGAACCCCACCAAACCTTTCATCCAAATATGGTGAGGTTATTTTTAACTCCTTTAAGTAAAAATTCTTTTTACAGCACTTACAACCTCCCTGTTAAATGCCTGCAATGTACTCATCGGTTTCCTTTAGATAGATGTTTCCCTGATATGAAAAGAAGTAAGTTGAAGTACTGTTGAATTTGCTTCACAGATTTTCCTGATCCGGGCAGAACCCCGTCCTGTGAGGAGCCGGAGGAATCTTTCCCCACTCACAGCGTCCCGGGAGGTGAATCCGAAGCGAACCGTGGAAATCCTCAGTACCGAGATATCTCTGAGAATGGCTGGGTCTTAGCTCTTGGTCTCACCACCACCTCACCAAAACATGTCATCTAAAAGTGTCTTAGGTGGATGAATCACAGCGAGGACCGCCTGGCCACTCAGGAGACCATAGGACAATATCACAATCACATAACCACCAGGGATCAGGCAAGTGTCAACTGCTCTTAAAACCTTTGTCCACAACCTCTGTCACTTTTGAGATTCAATACATATGACTTGCTGCCTAGAAAGAAAGAGAGAAAGAGCTTTCTATTAAAATACAAAGTAGATTCACTACAGAAAAATTTGAGGAACCATTTTGCTAGGGAAAAGAAAAATAGAATAAAAGAAAACAAAAATTCACCAGTGATACCACACCTGTTTTCATATTTGGTATATTTCCAGGCTGGTTTTATTGCTTTCCTTCTATTTTTATGTATGTACACTTATACTTTCCTGAGCATAAACTACATATAAAATCTGAGTATTGTCTTTCCATGAACTAATGCCTGGTGTAGTCAGTGAACCAGCAGCATAGGCATCTTCGAGAAAGTCTAGAAATTCAGACTGCCAGGCCCCCACCCCCAGTCTACCTGATCAGAATGTGCAGCTTGACCAAATCCCGGGGTGATTCACACTGAAGTTTGACAAGCATTGACACGCTGTATGTACTTCTGTGTTTTACTTTGTCACTAATAAAAACTAAAAAGTTTTCATTTTTCCCATAGTCCCCCTTCATTGTTAACCGTGCAGTGGAAATAATACTTTGTTTGAATTATTAAAACATTTAGAGATTACCAAAGAGTGAAGTCAAGTGTATATTGATTTTTGACTAGGCAAAGACAGCCCTAAAAAGCTTCGTAATTTTTTATTATTTATTTATTTATTTTTATCCTCGCTCGAGGATGTTTTTGTATTTACCTTCAGATAGAGTGGGATGGAGAAAGGGAGGGAGAGAGAGAGAAACATGGATGTGAGAGAAACACATTG